CACCACCAGCACCACCACCAACACCACCACTACTACCACCACCAGCACCACCACTACCACCAGCACCACCACTACCACTACCACCAGCACCAACACCACCACCAGCACCACCAGCACCACCAGCACCACCAGCACCACCAGCACCACCACCACCAACACCACCACTACTACCACCACCAGCACCACCACTACCACTACCACCAGCACCACCACCACCACTACCACCAGCACCACCACCACCACTACCACCAGCACCACCACCACCAGCACCACCAATACCACCAACACCACCACTACCACCACCACCACTACCACCACCACTACCACCACCACCAGCACCACCACCACCACGTGATAACACCGTAGGAGTTACACTTGTAAGTTTTCATAATAAAAAATAACATCGTTCTTTCTATCATTGTTTTACTTTAAAACTAACATTACATATATTATATAATGTATATAGTATGTATAATATATACTTTATATAAAATTATAATATATACTATACATAGTGTATACACTATAAATAGAGTATATACTATACATAGTGTATATACTATAGTGTATATACTATATAGTATATAACGTGAGTGGTAACCTAGCAACAATCTACCACTACTACCACTACTTCTGATACTACTACTGCTGCTACCACTACTACTGCTGATACTACTGCTGATACTACTACTGCTGATACTACTACTGATACTACTACTGCTGATACTACTACTACTGCTGATACTACTGCTGATACTACTACTGCTACTACTGCTGATACTACTACTGCTGATACTACTACTGATACTACTACTGCTGATACTACTACTGATACTACTGCTGATACTGCTACTACTACTACTGCTGATACTACTGCTGATACTACTACTGCTGATACCACTACTGCTGATACTGCTACTGCTGATACTACTACTGCTGATACTACTACTGCTGATACTACTACTGCTGATACTACTACTGCTGATACTACTACTGCTGATACTGCTGCTGCTACTACTGCTGATACTACTACTACTGCTACTGCCACTACTACTGCTGATACTGCTGATACTACTACTGTTGATACTACTACTGCTACTACTACTACCACTACTGCTGATACTGCTACTACTGATACTACAACTGCTACTACTACTACTGCTGCTACTACTACTACTGATACTACAACTGCTACTACTGCTGCTACTACTGCTACTACTACTGCTGCTGCTACTAACTACTACTGCTACTACTACTGCTGCTGCTACTAACTACTACTGCTACTACTACTGCTGCTACTACTACTGCTACTAACTACTACTACTGCTACTAACTACTGCTACTACTGCTGCTGCTGCTACTACTGCTGCTACTACTGCTACTACTACTGCTACTACTGCTACTACTACTGCTACTACTACTGCTACTACTACTACTGCTGCTACTACTGCTACTACTACAACTGCTACTACTGCTACTACTGCTGCTACTACTACAACTGATACTACTACTGCTGATACTACTCCTTCTACTACTGCTGCTGCTACTACTACTGTTGCTTCTGCTACTACTGCTTCTCAACACCACCCCGTGTGTTTGTCTGTTGTGTAACCGTGAGAGCTGCGATCACTCGATGGGGTAAATCTGAAGATTGTCTTGAGATTTAAGGTTTAAAAAAAGTTTTAAATTAAAATAATAACATCCCCCACTCCAGTTCGGGAGCGCCGCGAGACAGAGACACACACAGAGAGACACACAGAGAGAGACAGAGACACACAGAGAGACACACAGAGACACACACAGAGACACACACAGTGACACACACAGAGACACACAGAGACACACAGAAACACACACAGAGACACACACAGAGACACACAGAGACACACACAGTGACACACAGAGACACACACACAGAGAGACACAGAGACACACAGAGACACACAGAGAAACACACAGAGAGACACACACAGAGACACACACAGAGATACACAGAGACACACACAGAGACACACACAGAGACACACACAGAGAGACAAACAGAGACACACAGAGAGACACACAGAGACACACAGAGACACACACAGTGACACACACAGAGAGACACACACACAGAGACACACACAGAGACACACACAGAGACACACACAGAGAGACACACAGAGACACACACACAGAGACACACACAAAGACACACACACAGAGACACACAGAGACACACACAGTGACACACACAGAGAGACACACAGAGGCACACAGAGAGACACACAGAGACACACACAGACACAGAGAGGCACACACAGAGACACACATAGAGACACACACAAAGAGAGACACACAGAGAGACACACAGAGACACACACAGAGAGACACACAGAGACACACACACAGAGACACACAGAGACACACACAGAGACACACACAGAGAGATACACACAGAGATACAGCGAGAGAAACAGAGAGAGACACAGAGAGACACACACAGAGAGACACACAGAGACACAGAGAGACACACAGAGGGACACACAGAGACACACAGAGACACACACACAGAGACACACAGAGACACACACAGACACACAGAGAGAGACACAGAGAGACACACAGAGAGACACACAGAGACACACAGAGACACACACAGAGACACACACAGAGACACAGAGAGAGACACAGAGAGACACACACAGAGAGACACACAGAGACACAGAGAGACACACACAGAGACACAGAGAGAGACACAGAGAGACACACAGAGACACACACAGAGAGACACACACAGAGACACACACAGAGACACAGAGAGACACACAGAGACACAGAGAGACACAGAGACACACAGAGACACAGAGAGAGACAGAGAGAGACAGAGACACAGAGAGACACACACATAGACACACAGAGACACACACATAGACACACAGAGACACAGAGAGACACACACAGAGACACAGAGAGACACACACACACAGAGACACACAGAGAGACACACGGAGACACACACACAGAGACACACAGAGAGACACACAGACACACACACACAGAGACACACAGAGAGAGACACACAGAGAAACACACACAGAGAGACACACACAGAGAGACACACAGAGAGACACACACAGAGACACACACAGAGAGACACACAGAGAGACACACACAGAGAGACACACACAGAGAGACACACAGAGACACACACAGAGACACACAGAGAGACACACAGAGAGACACACACAGACACACACAGAGAGACACACAGAGAGACACACAGAGAGACACACAGAGAGAGACACAGAGAGACACACAGAGAGAGACACACAGAGACGCACACAGAGACACACACAGAGAGACACACAGAGAGACACACACAGAAACACACAGACACACACAGAGACACACAGAGAGACACACAGAGACACAGAGAGACACAGAAACACAGAGAGACACACAGAGACACACACAGAGACAGACAGAGACGCATAGAGACACACACAGAGAGACACACAGAGAGACACACAGAGATACACAGAGACACACACAGAGACACACACAGAGACACACTTACACACACAGAGAGACACACAGAGACACACAGAGACACACACACAGAGACACACAGAGACACACACACAGAGAGACACACAGAGACACACATACACAGAGAGACACACAGAGAGACACACAGAGACACCCACAGAGAGACACACAGAGACACAGAGAGAGAGAGACACACACAGAGAGAGACACACAGAGACACACACAGAGACACACAGAGACACCCACAGACAGACACACAGAGACACACACACACAGAGAGACGTAAGAAGAGGAAATGGAGGTGGTGGTGTAGCTGGTAGTCGTGGTGGTGGTGTTGGTGGTGGTCCTGGTGGAGGTGGTGCTGGTGGTGGTGCTGGTGGTGGTGGAGGTGCTGGTGGAGGTGGTGGTGTAGCTGTTAGTCGTGGTGGTGGTGTAGCTGGTGGTGGTAGTAGTGGTGGTGGTGTAGCTGGTGGTGTTGGTGTAGCTGGTGGTGGTGTAGCTGGTGGTGGTGTAGCTGGTGGTAGTGGTGTTGGTGTAGCTGGTGGTGGTAGTAGTGGTGGTGGTGTAGCTGGTGGTGGTATTAGTGGTGGTGGTGTTGGTGGTGGTGCTGGTGGAGGTGGTGCTGGTGGTGGTGCTGGTGGTGGTGGAGGTGCTGGTGGAGGTGGTGGTGTAGCTGTTAGTCGTGGTGGTGGTGTAGCTGGTGGTGGTAGTAGTGGTGGTGGTGTAGCTGGTGGTGTTGGTGTAGCTGGTGGTGGTGTAGCTGGTGGTGGTGTAGCTGGTGGTAGTGGTGTTGGTGTAGCTGGTGGTGGTAGTAGTGGTGGTGGTGTAGCTGGTGGTGGTATTAGTGGTGGTGGTGTAGCTGGTGGTGGTGTAGCTGGTGGTAGTGGTGGTGCTGGTGGTGGTGTAGCTGGTGGTAGTGGTGGTGGTGTAGCTGGTGGTGGTAGTAGTGGTGGTGGTGTAGCTGGTGGTAGTGGTGGTGCTGGTGGTGGTGTAGCTGGTTGTGGTGGTAGTGGTGGTGCTGGTGGTGGTGCTGCTGCTAGTGGTGGTGTAGCTGGTGGTAGTAGTGGTGCTGGTGGTGTTGGTGTAGCTGGTGGTGGTAGTGGTGTTGGTGTAGCTGGTGGTAGTAGTGGTGCTGGTGGTGTTCGTGTAGCTGGTGGTGGTAGTGGTGGTGGTGTAGCTGTTGGTGTAGCTGGTGGTGGTAGTGGTGGTGGTGTAGCTGGTGGTGTAGCTGGTGGTGTTGGTGTAGCTGGTGGTGTTGGTGTAGCTGGTGGTGTTCGTGTAGCTGGTGGTGGTAGTGGTGGTGGTGTAGCTGGTAGTGGTGTAGCTGGTGGTGGTAGTGGTGGTGGTGTAGCTGGTGGTGTAGCTGGTGGTGTTGGTGTAGCTGGTGGTGTTCGTGTAGCTGGTGGTGGTAGTGGTGGTGGTGTAGCTGGTGGTGTAGCTGGTGGTGGTGGTGGTGGAGGGGTCCCCCCGCTCACGTCACAACACAAACACGCTGGTCGCCATGGTGACGACGACGACAATGACGATGACGACGATGATGAAGACGATGATGAAGACGATGATGAAGACAATGATGATCATCCACGATAAACGATATTTTACAGGACCGGGAAACGCGACAATATCACCACAATCTCACCAAAATCTCACCACGAGCTCACCAAAATCTCACCACGATCTCACCACAATATCACCACAATCTCACCAAAATATCACCAAAATATCACCACAATCTCACCACAATCTCACCACTATCTCACCACAACCTCACCACAATCTCACCACCATCTCACCACCATCTCACCACAATATCACCATCATCTCACCACAATCTCACCACAATCTCACCACAATCTCACCATCATCTTACCACAATCTCACCATAATCTCACCATCATCTTACCACAATCTCACCACAATCTCACCAAAATATCACCACAATCTTACCACAATCTCACCACAATCTCACCATCATCTTACCACGATCTCACCACGAACTCACCACAATCTCACCACCATATCACCATCATCTCACCACAATCTCACCAAAATAGCACCACAATCTCACCATCATCTCACCACAATCTCACCACAATCTCACCACAATCTAACCACAATCTCACCATCATCTTACCACAATCTTACCATCATCTCACCACAATCTCACCAAAATATCACAATCTCACCACGATCTCACCACAATCTCACTACAATCTCACCATCATCTTACCACAATCTTACCATCATCTCACCACAATCTCACCACAATCTCACCACAATCTCACCATCATCTTACCACAATCTCACAATCTCACCAAAATATCACCACAATCTCACCACAATCTCACCACAATCTCACCACAATCTCACCACCATCTCACCACAATCTCACCACCATCTCACCACAATCTCACCACAATCTCACCACAATCTCACCATCATCTTACCGCAATCTCACCAAATTCTCACCACAATCTCACCACAATCTCACTACAATCTCACCATCATCTTACCACAATCTTACCATCATCTCACCACAATCTCACCACAATATCACCACAATCTCACCATCATCTTACCACAATCTCACAACCTCACCAAAATATCACCACAATCTCACCACAATCTCACCACAATCTCACCACAATCTCACCACCATCTCACCACAATCTCACCACCATCTCACCACAATCTCACCACAATCTCACCACAATCTCACCATCATCTTACCGCAATCTCACCAAATTCTCACCACAATCTCACCACAATCTCACGATCATCTTAACACAATCTCACGATCTCACCACAATCTCAATCTCACCACCATCTCACCACAATCTCACCACAATATCACCATCATCTTACCACAATATTACCATGATCTCACCACGATCTCACCACAATCTCAATCTCACCACAATCTCACCACGATCTCACCACAATCTCAATCTCACCACAATCTCACCACAATATCACCATCATCTTACCACAATATTACCATGATCTCACCACGATCTCACCACAATCTCAATCTCACCACAATCTCACCACGATCTCACCACAATCTCAATCTCACCACAATCTCACCACGATCTGACCACAATCTCAATCTCACCACAATCTCACCACGATCTCACCACAATCTCAATCTCACCACAATCTCACCACAATCTCACCACAATCTCACCACGATCTCACCACAATCTCAATCTCACCACAATCTCACCACAATCTCACCACAATCTTACGACCGTCTTTACGACCAACGTAAGCTGCGTCGCATCCCCGCGTCCCCATTGGTCGGTTCCTCCCACGCCGCCCTCACCCATTGGCTGAAGCTTCAACACCCCCCCCCCACCCCCTCACCTTCCAAAACTCCCAGAGTTCCCAGTGCAACGATCGCTCGCTCCCCATTGGTCGACTTTAACCACGGGACACGCCCCTCCACTCCACCCCCCCCCCCTCCACCCCCCCTCAGTATCGCCAAATCCGATTGGCCCAGACTCCCTCCCCAACCTCCCCGCCCCCGGAAACGCTCCGCTCCGATTGGCCAAGCCCACACCGGCCGCCATCGTCCAATCAACTTCTGCTCTTCCTCAGTAACGCTCCGCTCCGATTGGCCCAGGATCCCCCCCCCCCCCCCGCCGCCCCCGCCGTTACCCGGAAATCCTCCGCTCCGATTGGCCGAGCCACACCGGTCGCCGCCGCCGCCGTCCAATCAACTTCGTCTCTTCCTCAGTCTCGCTCCGATTGGCCCAGGACCCCCACCCCAACCAGCCCCTCCCCACCTCGCCCCCGGAAATCCTCCGCTCCGATTGGCCGAGCCCCCACCGGCCGCCGACCAATCGACTTCGTCTCTTCCTCAGTCTCGCTCCTCGCGCCGATTGGCCCAGGACCCCCACCCCAACCAGCCCCTCCCCACCTCGCCCCCGGAAATCCTCCGCTCCGATTGGCCGAGCCCCCACCGGCCGCCGACCAATCGACTTCGTCTCTTCCACAGCATCGCTCCGCTCCGATTGGCCCAGGACCCACACCCCAACCAAGCCCACCCCCATGGAAATCGCTCCGCTCCGATTGGCCCAGGACCCACACACACACCATCTCCCCCTCCCTCCCCCACCTCGCCCCCAGAAATCCTCCGCTCCGATTGGCTGAGCCCCCACCGGCCGCCGTCGTCGTCGACCAATCACTTCTTCTCTTCCTCTGTCTCCGGCCGGGTCAGCACCATGACGTCATCCTCGGGTCCTTCGAGAGAGGGGTGGGGGGTGGGGTAATTTAGGCGTCCACAGAGGCTTGCCCGTTTTATTAGCGGGCTATGAGGGGGTAGGTCACGGGTAGAGATGCCTGTTTAAAAACGAAAACATTTTAACGACTTAAACATTTAATTAAAATCGACGCGGAATCACCGACGGCCAGCGTTAGTGGTGGTTCACCTTGGTCGTGAGAGCCTGGTGACATCTTCCTCAGCTAACTAACTAGTCACTAACTATTCTTAGTTTTTTCGGTAAAGTCACGTTGAAGAGAAACAACAAAATAACAAAATATATATAAAACAATAAAAAATTCTCACGACGTTTCGACCATAACTCAAACGGTCATCATCAGGTGTGTCGGTTTGCATAAATTTATTTTGAAAACGGCATATTTATTTATATATATAAAAATAACGTTTGCGTCACGCGCAAACGTTATTTTTATATATATAAATAAATATGCCGTTTTCAAAATAAATTTATGCAAACCGACACACCTGATGATGACCGTTTGAGTTATGGTCGAAACGTCGTGAGAATTTTTTATTGTTTTATATATATTTTGTTATTTTGTTGTTTCTCTTCAACGTGACTTTACCGAAAAAACTAAGAATATGAATTACTGCAGTCACGAAAGCTTTAAATCAAAATTTAGTCACTAACTAGTTAGTAACTAGTTAGTAACTAGTTAGTAACTAGTTAGTGACTAGTTAGTGGTGGTTCACCTTGGTCGTGAGAGCCTGGTGACATCTTCCTCAGCTAACTAACTAGTCACTAACTAGTTAGTAACTAGTCAGTAACTAGTCAGTGACTAGTTAGTGGTGGTTCACCTTGGTCGTGAGAGCCTGGTGACATCTTCCTCAGCTAACTAACTAGTCACTAACTAGTTAGTAACTAGTCAGTAACTAGTCAGTGACTAGTTAGTGGTGGTTCACCTTGGTCGTGAGAGCCTGGTGACATCTTCCTCAGCTAACTAACTAGTCACTAACTAGTTAGTAACTAGTCAGTAACTAGTCAGTGACTAGTTAGTGGTGGTTCACCTTGGTCGTGAGAGCCTGGTGACATCTTCCTCAGCTAACTAACTAGTCACTAACTAGTTAGTAACTAGTCAGTAACTAGTCAGTGACTAGTTAGTGGTGGTTCACCTTGGTCGTGAGAGCCTGGTGACATCTTCCTCAGCTAACTAACTAGTCACTAACTAGTTAGTAACTAGTCAGTAACTAGTCAGTGACTAGTTAGTGGTGGTTCACCTTGGTCGTGAGAGCCTGGTGACATCTTCCTCAGCTAACTAACTAGTCACTAACTAGTTAGTAACTAGTCAGTAACTAGTCAGTGACTAGTTAGTGGTGGTTCACCTTGGTCGTGAGAGCCTGGTGACATCTTCCTCAGCTAACTAACTAGTCACTAACTAGTTAGTGACTAGTTAGTGACTAGTTAGTGGTGGCTCACCTTGGTCCTGAGAGCCTGGTGACATCTTCCTCAGCTAACTAACTAGTCACTAACTAGTTAGTAACTAGTTAGTGACTAGTTAGTGACTAGTTAGTGACTAGTTAGTGGTGGCTCACCTTGGTCGTGAGAGCCTGGTGACATCTTCCTCAGCTAACTAACTAGTCACTAACTAGTCACTAACTAGTCACTAACTAGTTAGTGACTAGTTAGTGACTAGTTAGTGACTAGTTAGTGGTGGTTCACCTTGGTCCTGAGAGCCTGGTGACATCTTCCTCAGCTAACTAACTAGTCACTAACTAGTTAGTGACTAGTTAGTGACTAGTTAGTGACTAGTTAGTGGTGGTTCACCTTGGTCCTGAGAGCCTGGTGACATCTTCCTCAGCTAACTAACTAGTCACTAACTAGTCACTAACTAGTTAGTGACTAGTTAGTGACTAGTTAGTGGTGGTTCACCTTGGTCCTGAGAGCCTGGTGACATCTTCCTCAGCTAACTAACTAGTCACTAACTAGTTAGTGACTAGTTAGTGACTAGTTAGTGACTAGTTAGTGGTGGTTCACCTTGGTCGTGAGAGCCTGGTGACATCTTCCTCAGCTAACTAACTAGTTAGTAACTAGTCACTAACTAGTTACTAACTAGTCACTAACTAGTTAGTGACTAGTTAGTGACTAGTTAGTGACTAGTTAGTGGAGGCTCACCTTGGTCCTGAGAGCCTGGTGACATCTTCCTCAGCTAACTAACTAGTCACTAACTAGTTAGTGACCAGTTAGTGACTAGTTAGTAACTAGTTAGTGACTAGTTAGTGGTGGCTCACCTTGGTCCTGAGAGCCTGGTGACATCTTCCTCAGCTAACTAACTAGTTAGTAACTAGTCACTAACTAGTTACTAACTAGTTAGTAACTAGTTAGTGACTAGTTAGTGACTAGTTAGTGGTGGCTCACCTTGGTCCTGAGAGCCTGGTGACATCTTCCTCAGCTAACTAGTCACTAACTAGTCACTAACTAGTTAGTGACTAGTTAGTGACTAGTTAGTGACTAGTTAGTGACTAGTTAGTGGTGGTTCACCTTGGTCGTGAGAGCCTGGTGACATCTTCCTCAGCTAACTAATTAGTCACTAACTAGTTAGTGACTAGTTAGTGACTAGTCACTAACTAGTTAGTGACTAGTTAGTGACTAGTTAGTGGTGGCTCACCTTGGTCGTGAGAGCCTGGTGACATCTTCCTCAGCTAACTAACTAGTCACTAACTAGTTACTAACTAGTTACTAACTAGTTAGTGACTAGTTAGTGACTAGTTAGTAACTAGTTAGTGGTGGTTCACCTTGGTCGTGAGAGCCTGGTGACATCTTCCTCAGCTAACTAATTAGTCACTAACTAGTTACTAACTAGTTACTAACTAGTTAGTGACTAGTTAGTGACTAGTTAGTAACTAGTTAGTAACTAGTTAGTGGTGGTTCACCTTGGTCGTGAGAGCCTGGTGACATCTTCCTCAGCTAACTAACTAGTCACTAACTAGTTAGTAACTAGTTAGTGGTGGTTCACCTTGGTCGTGAGAGCCTGGTGACATCTTCCTCAGCTAACTAACTAGTCACTAACTAGTTAGTAACTAGTTAGTGACTAGTTAGTAACTAGTTAGTGGTGGTTCACCTTGGTCGTGAGAGCCTGGTGACATCTTCCTCAGCTAACTAACTAGTCACTAACTAGTTAGTGACTAGTTAGTAACTAGTTAGTGGTGGTTCACCTTGGTCGTGAGAGCCTGGTGACATCTTCCTCAGCTAACTAACTAGTCACTAACTAGTCACTAACTAGTTAGTGACTAGTTAGTGACTAGTTAGTGACTAGTTAGTGGTGGCTCACCTTGGTCGTGAGAGCCTGGTGACATCTTCCTCAGCTAACTAACTAGTCACTAACTAGTCACTAACTAGTCACTAACTAGTTAGTAACTAGTTAGTGACTAGTTAGTGACTAGTTAGTGGTGGCTCACCTTGGTCGTGAGAGCCTGGTGACATCTTCCTCAGCTAACTAACTAGTCAGTAACTAGTTAGTGACTAGTTAGTGACTAGTTAGTGGTGGCTCACCTTGGTCCTGAGAGCCTGGTGACATCTTCCTCAGCTAACTAACTAGTCACTAACTAGTTAGTAACTAGTTAGTGGTGGTTCACCTTGGTCGTGAGAGCCTGGTGACATCTTCCTCAGCTAACTAACTAGTCACTAACTAGTCACTAACTAGTTAGTGACTAGTTAGTGACTAGTTAGTGGTGGCTCACCTTGGTCCTGAGAGCCTGGTGACATCTTCCTCAGCTAACTAATTAGTCACTAACTAGTTACTAACTAGTTAGTGACTAGTTAGTGACTAGTTAGTGACTAGTTAGTGGTGGCTCACCTTGGTCCTGAGAGCCTGGTGACATCTTCCTCAGCTAACTAACTAGTCACTAACTAGTTAGTGACTAGTTAGTGACTAGTTAGTGACTAGTTAGTGACTAGTTAGTGGTGGCTCACCTTGGTCCTGAGAGCCTGGTGACATCTTCCTCAGCTAACTAACTAGTCACTAACTAGTCACTAACTAGTTAGTGACTAGTTAGTGACTAGTTAGTGGTGGCTCACCTTGGTCCTGAGAGCCTGGTGACATCTTCCTCAGCTAACTAACTAGTCACTAACTAGTTAGTGACTAGTTAGTGACTAATTAGTGACTAGTTAGTGACTAGTTAGTGGTGGCTCACCTTGGTCCTGAGAGCCTGGTGACATCTTCCTCAGCTAACTAACTAGTCACTAACTAGTTAGTGACTAGTTAGTGACTAGTTAGTAACTAGTTAGTGACTAGTTAGTGGTGGCTCACCTTGGTCCTGAGAGCCTGGTGACATCTTCCTCAGCTAACTAACTAGTCACTAACTAGTTAGTGACTAGTTAGTGACTAGTTAGTGACTAGTTAGTGACTAGTTAGTGGTGGCTCACCTTGGTCCTGAGAGCCTGGTGACATCTTCCTCAGCTCGTGGGGGGCATGATTCTGCAGAAACTCCTCCTCCTCTGCCTTTAACTGGTGGGGCAGAAGGTCGCGGAGAGGGAGGTCACATGGAGGTCACACGGGGGTCACACGGGGGTCACAAGGGGGTCACACGGGGGTCACAAGGGGGTCACAAGGGGGTCACAAGGGGGGTTACACGGGGGTCGTACGGGGGGTCTCAAGGGGGTCGTACGGGGGTCACAAGGGGGTCGTACGGGGGTCACACGGAGGTCACAGAGTCACATGGGTCACACAAGGTCACAGGCAGGTGGGTGAGTGAGTGGGTGAGTGGGTGGGTGATTGGGTGGGTAGGTGGGTGGGTGAGTGGGTGAGTGCGTGGGTGGGTGGGTGATTGGGTGGGTGAGTGGGAGGGTAGGTGGGTGGGTGATTGGGTGGGTGAGTGGGTGGGTGAGTGGGTGGGTGAGTGGGAGGGTACGTGGGTGGGTGATTGGGTGGGTAGGTGGGTGGGTGAGTGGGTGGGTGATTGGGTGGGTAGGTGAGTGGGTGGGTGATTTGGTGAGTGGGTGGGTGAGTGGGTGGGTGAGTGGGTGGGTGAGTGGGTGGGTGAGTGGGAGGGTACGTGGGTGGGTGATTGGGTGGGTAGGTGGGTGGGTGAGTGGGTGGGTGATTGGGTGGGTAGGTGAGTGGGTGGGTGATTTGGTGAGTGGGTGGGTGAGTGCGTGGGTGGGTGAGTGGGGGAGTGCATGGGTGGGTGGGTGATTGGGTGGGTGAGTGGGAGGGTAGGTGGGTGGGTGATTGGGTGGGTGAGTGGGTGGGTGAGTGGGTGGGTGAGTGGGAGGGTACGTGGGTGGGTGATTGGGTGGGTAGGTGGGTGGGTGAGTGGGTGGGTGATTGGGTGGGTAGGTGAGTGGGTGGGTGATTTGGTGAGTGGGTGGGTGAGTGGGTGGGTGAGTGGGTGGGTGAGTGGGAGGGTACGTGGGTGGGTGATTGGGTGGGTAGGTGGGTGGGTGAGTGGGTGGGTGATTGGGTGGGTAGGTGAGTGGGTGGGTGATTTGGTGAGTGGGTGGGTGAGTGCGTGGGTGGGTGAGTGGGGGAGTGAGTGGGGGGGGGTGAGTGGGTAGGTGGGGGGGGGGGTGAGTGGGTGGGTGAGTGGGTGAGTGTGTGAGTGAGTGGGAGGGTAGGTGGTTGGGTGAGTGAGTGAGTAGGTGAGTGGGCGGGTGAGCGGGTGGGTGAGTGAGGGAGTGAGTGTGCGGGTGAGTGGGCGGGTGGGTTAGTGAGTGGGTTAGTGGGTGGGTGAGTGGGTGAATGAGTTGGTGGGCGAGTGAGTTGGTGAGTGGGCGGGTGGGTTAGTGAGTGGGTGGGTGAGTGAGTGAATGAGTGTATGAGTGAATCCGTGTATGAGTGAGTGTATGAGTGAGTGAATTGAGTGAGTGTATGTATGAGTGAGTGTGTGAGTGTGTATGTGAGTGAGTGTATGAATGAGTGTATGAGTGAGTGTATGAGTGAGTGTATGAGTGAGTGTATGAGTGAGTGAGTGTATGAGTTAGTGAATGAGTGAATGAATGAGTGAATGAGTTAGTAAATGAGTGAGTGAATGAATGAGTGACTGAGTTAGTAAATGAGTGAATGAGTGAGTTAGTAAATGAGTTAGTGAATGAGTGAATGAATGAGTGAATGATTGAGTGAGTGAATGAATGAGTGAATGATTTAGTGAGTGAATGAATGAGTGAATGAGTTAGTAAATGAGTGAATGAGTGAGTGAATGAGTGAGTGTATGAGTGAGTGAGTGTATGAGTGAGTGAGTGAGTGTATGAGTGAGTGAGTGTATGAGTGAGTGAGTGTATGAGTGAGTGAGTGTATGAGTGAGTGAGTGTATGAGTGAGTGAGTGTATGAGTGAGTGTATGAGTGAGTGAGTGTATGAGTGAGTGAATGAGTGAGTGTATGAGTGAGCGTATGAGTGAATGAGTGAGTGTATGAGTGAGTGTATGAGTGAGTGAGTGTATGAGTGAGTGTATGAGTGAGTGTATGAGTTAGTGAATGAGTGAATGAATGAGTGTATGAGTGAATGAATGAGTGAATGATTTAGTAAATGAGTGAGTGAATGAGTGAGTGAATGAATGAGTTAGTAAATGAGTGAATGAGTGAGTTAGTAAATGAGTTAGTGAATGAGTGAATGAATGAGTGAATTATTGAGTGAGTGAATGAATGAGTGAATGATTGAGTGAGTGAATGAATGAGTGAATGAGTTAGTAATTGAGTGAATGAGTGAGTGTATGAGTGAGTGTATGAGTGAGTGTACGAGTGAGTGTACGAGTGAGCGAGTGAGTGAGTGAGTGTATGAGTGAGTGTATGAGTGAGTGAGTGTATGAGTGAGTGTATGAGTGAGTGTACGAGTGAGCGTATGAGTGAGCGTATGAGTGAGTGAGTGTATGAGTGAGTGTGTGAGTGAGTGTATGAGTGAGTGAGTGTATGAGTGAGTGTACGAGTGAGCGTATGAGTGAGTGAGTGAGTGTATGAGTGAGTGTATGAGTGAGTGAGTGTATGAGTGAGTGAGTGTATGAGTGAGTGAATGTATGAGTGAGTGAGTGTATGAGTGAGTGTATGAGTGAGTGAGTGTATGAGTGAGTGAGTGAGTGTATGAGTGAGTGTATGAGTGAGTGAGTGTACGAGTGAGCGTGTGAGTGAGTGAGTGTATGAGTGAGTGTATGAGTGAGCGTATGAGTGAGTGTACGAGTGAGCGTATGAGTGAGTGAGTGAGCGTATGAGTGAGTGAGTGTATGAGTGAGTGTGTGAGTGAGTGTATGAGTGAGTGAGTGAGTGTATGAGTGAGTGTATGAGTGAGTGTATGAGTGAGTGAGTGAGTGTAAGAGTGAGTGAGTGTATGAGTGAGTGAGTGAGTGTATGAGTGAGCGTATGCGTGAGTGAGTGTACGAGTGAGTGTATGAGTGAGTGAGTGTATGAGTGAGTGTATGAGTGAGTGTATGAGTGAGTGAGTGAGTGTATGAGTGAATGTACGAGTGAGTGTACGAGTGAGTGTACGAGTGAGCGTGTGAGTGAGTGTATGAGTGAGTGTATGAGTGAGTGAGTGTATGAGTGAGTGAGTGTATGAGTGAGTGTACGAGTGAGTGTATGAGTGAGTGTATGAGTGAGTGAGTGTATGAGTGAGTGTATGAGTGAGTGTACGAGTGAGTGTATGAGTGAGTGAGTGTATGAGTGAGTGTACGAGTGAGTGTACGAGTGAGTGAGTGAGTGTACGAGTGAGCGTGTGAGTGAGTGTATGAGTGAGTGTATGAGTGAGTGAGTGTATGAATGAGTGAGTGTATGAGTGAGTGAGTGTATGAGTGAGTGAGTGTATGAGTGAGTGAGTGTATGAGTGAGTGTATGAGTGAGTGAGTGTATGAGTGAGTGAGTGTATGAGTGAGTGTACGAGTGAGCGTATGAGTGAGTGAGTGTATGAGTGAGTGTACGAGTGAGTGTATGAGTGAGTGAGTGTATGAGTGAGTGAGTGTATGAGTGAGTGAGCGTATGAGTGAGTGAGTGAGTGTACGAGTGAGTGTACGAGTGAGTGAGTGAGTGTACGAGTGAGCAAGTGAGTGTACGAGTGAGTGTACGAGTGAGTGTACGAGTGAGCGTGTGAGTGAGTGAGTGTACGAGTGAGTGTATGAGTGAGTGAGTGTATGAGTGAGTGTACGAGTGAGTGAGTGAGTGTACGAGTGAGTGTATGAGTGAGTGAGTGTATGAGTGAGTGTATGAGTGAGTGTACGAGTGAGTGTACGAGTGAGTGTACGAGTGAGTGTATGAGTGAGTGTACGAGTGAGTGTACGAGTGAGTGTATGAGTGAGTGTATGAGTGAGTGTATGAGTGAGTGTACGAGTGAGTGTATGAGTGAGTGTACGAGTGAGTGTACGAGTGAGTGTATGAGTGAGTGTATGAGTGAGTGTACGAGTGAGTGTATGAGTGAGTGAGTGTATGAGTGAGTGAGTGTATGAGTGAGTGAGCGTATGAGTGAGTGAGTGAGTGTACGAGTGAGTGTACGAGTGAGTGAGTGAGTGTACGAGTGAGCGAGTGAGTGTACGAGTGAGTGTACGAGTGAGTGTACGAGTGAGCGTGTGAGTGAGTGAGTGTATGAGTGAGTGAGTGAGTGTATGAGTGAGTGAGTGTATGAGTGAGTGTACGAGTGAGTGAGTGAGTGAGTGTACGAGTGAGTGTATGAGTGAGTGTATGAGTGAGTGTATGAGTGAGTGAGTGAGTGTATGAGTGAGTGTATGAGTGAGCGTGTGAGTGAGTGAGTGTACGAGTGAGTGTACGAGTGAGTGTAGGAGTGAGTGTACGTGTGAGTGTATGAGTGAGTGAGTGAGTGTATGAGTGAGTGAGTGTATGAGTGAGTGTATGAGTGAGTGTATGAGTGAGTGAGTGAGTGTACGAGTGAGTGAGTGTATGAGTGAGTGAGTGTACGAGTGAGTGAGTGTATGAGTGAGTGAGTGTATGAGTGAGTGTATGAGTGAGTGAGTGTATGAGTGAGTGAGTGAGTGTACGAGTGAGTGAGTGAGTGTATGAGTGAGTGTACGAGTGAGTGTACGAGTGAGTGTACGAGTGAGTGTACGAGTGAGTGTACGTGTGAGTGTATGAGTGAGTGAGTGAGTGTATGAGTGAGTGAGTGTATGAGTGAGTGTATGAGTGAGTGTATGAGTGAGTGAGTGAGTGTACGAGTGAGTGAGTGTATGAGTGAGTGAGTGTACGAGTGAGTGAGTGTATGAGTGAGTGAGTGTATGAGTGAGTGTATGAGTGAGTGAGTGTATGAGTGAGTGAGTGAGTGTACGAGTGAGTGAGTGAGTGTATGAGTGAGTGTACGAGTGAGCGTGTGAGTGAGTGAGTGAGTGTATGAGTAAGTGAGTGTACGAGTGAGTGTGTGAGTGAGTGAGTGTACGAGTGAGTGTACGAGTGAGTGTACGAGTGAGTGTACGAGTGAGTGTATGAGTGAGTGTATGAGTGAGTGTATGAGTGAGTGTACGAGTGAGTGTACGAGTGAGTGTATGAGTGAGTGTACGAGTGAGCGTGTGAGTGAGTGAGTGTATGAGTGAGTGTATGAGTGAGTGTACGAGTGAGTGTACGAGTGAGTGTACGTGTGAGTGAGTGAGTGTATGAGTGAGTGTACGAGTGAGTGAGTGTATGAGTGAGTGAGTGTATGAGTGAGTGTATGAGTGAGTGTACGAGTGAGTGAGTGAGTGAGTGTACGAGTGAGTGTACGAGTGAGTGTACGTGTGAGTGAGTGAGTGTATGAGTGAGTGTACGAGTGAGTGAGTGTATGAGTGAGTGAGTGTATGAGTGAGTGTATGAGTGAGTGAGTGTACGAGTGAGTGAGTGAGCGTGTGAGTGAGTGAGTGTATGAGTGAGTGTATGAGTGTATGAGTGAGTGAGTGAGTGTATGAGTGAGTGTATGAGTGAGTGTACGAGTGAGTGTACGAGTGAGTGAGTGAGTGCTCCATCCAGCAGTGGAGAGGGGTGGCTCACCGTGGCTCCCATCCTGCGCAGAGCAAGGAAGACACGCACCTTCTGCCTCGAGAAGGAGTCAAGGGGGCGATCGGCCCCAGGGCAACCCCCCTGGGCACCTCCCGGCAACCCGTGACTCATCTACAGACACACACAGAGACACAGAGACACAGACAGAGACACACAGAGAGACACAGAGACACACACAGAGAGAGACACAGAGACACACACAGAGAGAGACACAGAGACAGAGACACACAGACAGAGACACACAGAGACACAGAGACACACAGACACAGGGACACAGACAGAGAGAGACACAGAGAGACACACAGAGAGACACAGAGACACACACACAGAGACACAGAGACACACAGACAGAGAGACACAGAGACACACAGACAGAGACACACAGAGAGACACACAGAGACACAGAGACACACAGAGAGACAAAGAGATACAGAGACAGAGAGACACACAGAGAGACAGACAGAGAGACAGACAGAGAGACACAGACAGAGAGACAGAGAGAGACAGAGACAGAGAGACACAGAGACACACAGACAGAGAGACAGAGAGAGACACAGAGACACAGAGAGACACAGAGACACACAGAGCAACAAAGAGATACAGAGACACACAGACAAAGACACACAGACAGAGAGAGACACAGAGACACAGAGAGACACAGGGACACAGACAGAGAGACACACAGAGACACAGAGAGACACAGAGACACAGACAGAGACACACAGAGCAACAAAGAGATACAGAGACAGAGAGACACAGAGACACACAGACAGAGAGACACAGAGACACAGACAGAGACACAGACAGAGACACACAGACAGAGACATACAGAGAGACAGACAGAGAGACACACACAGAGACACAGAGACACAGACAGAGAGAGACACAGAGAGACACACAGAGAGACACAGAGACACACACAGAGACACAGAGACACACAGACAGAGAGACACAGAGACACAGACAGAGACACACAGAGCAACAAAGAGATACAGAGACAGAGAGACACAGAGACACACAGACAGAGAGACACAGAGACACAGACAGAGACACACAGACAGAGACACACAGACAGAGACACACAGAGACACAGACAGAGACACACAGAGAGACAAAGAGATACAGAGACAGAGAGACACAGAGACACACAGACAGAGAGACACAGAGACAAAGAGATAGAGAGACACAGAGAGACAGACAGAGAGACAGACAGAGAGAGACACAGAGACACAGAGAGACATAGAGACACACAGAGCAACAAAGAGATACAGAGACATACAGACAGAGACACAGACAGAGAGACACAGAGACACAGACAGAGACACAGACAGAGACACACAGACAGAGAGACACAGAGACACAGACAGAGACACACAGAGAGACAAAGAGATACAGAGACAGAGAGACACAGAGACACAGACAGAGACACACAGAGCAACAAAGAGATACAGAGACAGAGAGACACACAGACAGAGAGACACAGAGACACAGACAGAGACACAGACAGAGACACACAGACAGAGACACACAGAGACACAGACAGAGACACACAGAGAGACAAAGAGATACAGAGACAGAGAGACACAGAGACACAGACAGAGACACACAGAGCAACAAAGAGATACAGAGACAGAGAGACACACAGACAGAGAGACACAGAGACACAGACAGAGACACAGACAGAGACACACAGACAGAGACACACAGAGACACAGACAGAGACACACAGAGAGACAAAAAGATACAGAGACAGAGAGGAGACACACAGACAGAGAGACACAGAGACAAAGAGATACAGAGAGACACAGAGAGACAGACAGAGAGACAGACAGAGAGACACAGAGACACACAGACACAGACAGAGAGAGACACAGAGACACAGACAGAGAGACACACAGAGAGACACACAGAGAGACACAGACAGAGAGACACACAGAGAGAGACAGACAGAGACACAGAGAGAGACACAGAGACAGACAGAGAGACAGACAGAGAGACAAAGAGATACAGAGAGACACACAGAGAGACAGACAGAGAGATACAGAGACAGAGAGACACAGAGAGACACAGAGACACAGACAGAGAGACACACAGAGAGACAGACAGAGAGACACAGACAGAGACACAGAGAGACACACAGAGAGACAGACAGAGAGACAAAGAGACACAGAGAGACACAGAGACAGAGAGAGACAGAAACAGAGAGACACAGACAGAGAGACAGACAGAGAGAGACACACAGAAAGACAGACAGAGAGACAAAGAGACACAGAGAGACACAGAGAGACACAGAGACAGAGAGACACAGATCCAGAGAGACAGACAAAGAGAGACACAGAGAGACAGAGAGCGAGACAGACAGAGAGACACAGAGACACAGACAGAGAGACAGACAGAGAGACACACAGAGAGACACAGACAGAGAGACACACAGAGAGAGACAGACAGAGAGACACAGAGACAAAGAGACACAGAGACAGACAGAGAGACAGAGAGAGAGACAAAGAGATACAGAGAGACACACAGAGAGACAGACAGAGACACAGAGACACAGAGAGACACAGAGACACAGACAGAGAGACACAGAGAGACACAGAGAGACACAGACAGAGACACAGAGAGACACACAGATAGACAGACAGAGAGACAAAGAGACACAGAGAGACACAGAGACAAAGAGACACAAAGAGACACAGAGACAGAGAGACACAGAGACAGAGAGACACAGAGACACAGAGACAGACAGAGAGAGACACAGAGAGACAGAGAGAGACAAAGAGACACAGAGAGACACAGAGACAGACAGACAGACAGAGAGAGACACAGACAGAGAGAGACACACAGAGAGACACAGATAGACACAGACACAGAGAGACACAGACACAGAGAGACAGAGACAGAGAGACACAGACAGAGAGACACAGACACAGAGAGACACAGAGACAGAGAGACAGACAGAGAGAGACACACAGAGAGACAGAGAGAGACAAAGAGACACAGAGAGACAGAGAGAGAGACACAGACAGAGAGAGACACACAGAGAGACAGAGACAAAGAGACACAGACAGAGACACAGACAGAGACACAGAGACAGAGAGAGACACAGACACAGAGAGACACAGACAGAGACACACAGAGAGACAGAGAGACACAGAGACAGAGAGACAGAGAGACACAGAGAGGTAGTGGGTGGTGATAGTGGAGGGTAGTGGGTGGTGATAGTGGGTGGTAGTAGTGGGGGGTAGTGGTAGTAGGTGGTGATAGTGGGTGGTAGTAGTGGGGGGTAGTGGTAGTGGTGATAGTCGGCGGTAGTAGTGGGGGGTAGTGGTGGTGGTGATAGTGGGTGGTAGTGGGTGGTGGTAGTGGGTGGTGATAGTGGGTGGTGGTGATAGTGGGTGGTAGTAGTGGGGGGTAGTGGGGGGGTATTGGTGGTGGTGATAGTGGGTGGTGGTGATAGTGGGTCGTAGTAGTGGGGGGTAGTGGTAGTGGTGATAGTGGGTGGTAGTGGGGGGTAGTGGATGGTGATAGTTTGTGGTGGTGATAGTGGGTGGTGGTGATAGTGGGTGGTAGTGGGGGGGTATTGGTGGTGGTGATAGTGGGTGTTAGTAGTGGGGGGTAGTGGTGGTGGTGATAGTGGGTGGTAGTGGGTGGTAGTAGTGGGTGGTGAGTGTGGGTGGTAGTAGTGGGGGGTAGTGGTGGTGGTGGTGATAGTGGGTGGTAGTAGTGGGTGGTGAGTGTGGGTGGTAGTAGTGGGGGGTAGTGGTGGTGATAGTGGGTGGTAGTAGTGGGTGGTAGTAGTGGGGGGTAGTGGTGGTGGTGATAGTGGGTGGTAGTGGGTGGTAGTAGTGGGTGGTAGTAGTGGGGGGTAGTGGTGGTGTGCCATGCCCAATGTTTAATCGTCGCCAAATGATTTTGCTGCAAAGAAGCCTCTGCTTACGACTCATAGACACCCATAGAGACCCATAGAGACCCATACTCAGAGACCCACACAGACCCACAGAGACCCACACTCATAGAGACCCATAGAGACCCATAGAGACCCACAGAGACCCACACTCATAGAGACCCATAGAGACCCATAGAGACCCATAGAGACCCACAGAGACCCATAGAGACCCACAGACCCACAGAGACCCACAGACCCACAGAGACCCATAGTGACCCACACAGACACACACAGACCCATAGTGACCCACACAGACCCACAGACCCACAGAGACCCATACTCATAGAGACCCACAGAGACCCACAGAGACCCACACTCATAGAGACCCATAGAGACCCACAGAGACCCATACTCATAGAGACCCACACAGACCCATAGAGACCCATAGAGACACACACAGACCCACAGAGACCCAGACTCATAGAGACCCATAGAGACCCACAGAGACCCATACTCATAGAGACCCACACAGACCCATAGAGACCCATACTCATAGAGACCCACACAGACCCATAGAGACCCATACTCATAGAGACCCACAGAGACCCACAGAGACCCATAGAGACACACACAGACCCATAGAGACCCACACAGACCCATAGAGACCCACAGAACCACACAGACCCATAGAGACACACACAGACCCATAGAGACACACAGACCCATAGAGACCCACAGACCCACAGAGACCCATAGAGACACACACAGACCCATAGAGACCCACACAGACCCATAGAGACCCACAGACCCACACAGACCCATAGAGACACACACAGACCCATAGAGACACACAGACCCATAGAGACCCACAGACCCACAGAGAACCATAGAGACACACACAGACCCATAGAGACCCACACAGACCCATAGAGACCCACAGACCCACAGAGACCCATAGAGACACACACAGACCCATAGAGACACACAGACCCACAGAGAACCATAGAGACACACACAGACCCATAGAGACCCACACAGACCCACACAGACCCACAAAGACCCACAGACACCCATACTCATAGAGACCCATAGAGACCCACAGACACCCATACTCGGGCGGGCTGTAGTAGCGCGAACCACTGCACCACCACTCCCCAAAGACAAAGATCCCCAGGTAGCCTCTAGCAGGCTGTAGGGGCAAGTGCTGTCAGCAGCACCTACACACACAGACAAAGATCCCCCAGGTAGCCTCTAGCAGGATGTAGGGGCAAGTGCTGTCAGTAGCACCTACACAGACAAAGATCCCCCAGGTAGCCTCTAGCAGGCTGTAGGGGCAAGTGCTGTCAGTGGCACCTACACACAGACAAAGATCCCCCGTGTAGCCTCTAGCAGGCTGTAGGGGCAAGTGCTGTCAGTAGCGAGTAGCAGCGCCTATGAAGGCTACCGGCACTGTGGCTACACAGAGGCGGTGGCCACCAGCACCACCACCACCACGCCCGGCCGTCTTTGTCTCTCATTTGAGGCTGAGTCGACCTTGGCGAGTGGTGGTTACGCTAACCGCTGCACCACCGCTCCCCACACACACACACACATACACACAGCCACGGGACATAACTTCAAACAAAGTGAAAAGCATGCGTAAAACAAACTTAACAACATTTGAAACAGAGAGAGAGAGAGATAAAAAAAACCCTCACTTTGCAGGTCGAAATGCGACAAGGGCCCCGACGGGGGTCTCCGCGGAGCCTCGGCCTCGCCTAGCCAGCCAGGCCGGCCTGAGGTGAGGGTGGGGCGGCAGGGCAGACCCTGGTCGGGGGGGGGGGTTACCGGTCAGCCAACCCTGAGGTAAAAAAAAAATTGTTTTAATTAAATTTGTTTTTATTTGTTTAGCTTCGGGTCTTTTGTTATAGGAGCCTCGATTGATCGGACGGCCCTCGGCGAGGGCTAAAGTCTTAAACGTCGACTTAAAATGGAACAAATTTCCCTCAAGCACAAGTCGTCTCTCACTTTCAACTGCTTGGGAATCGATTCCGAGATTTTCGATTGTGTTATTCCGCGAGTTCGATTCCCCGTTCGCTCTAAAGGGGTGGGAATCGGTTTGTTTTGTTAACCGTAGTAGATCCGCTTTTCGATTGCCCGTTGTACGTTTCGTGGGGGGAGGGGGCGACGAATCGATGATCTTTTCAAAATTAATAACACGATAGGAATCGATGCCGTGATAACCGGCAAGTCAGTTGAATCGATTCTGTTGTTTCGATTAACCGTACTCGTTTTTTCATCTCTTTTGGATGCCGGTAATCGATTACGTTCCCGTTTAGTTTGTACAGCGGGAAATCGAAACATTTCATTGGTACTGAGTAATCGATCCAATTCCTTACAGACACATAGACCCATAGACTCACTCATAGAGACCCACAGATTCACCACTCACAGAGACCCACAGACTCACCACACAGAGACCCACCGACTCACCACACAGAGACCCACAGACTCACCACACAGAGACCCACAGACTCACCACACAGAGACACACAGACTCACCACACAGAGACACACAGACTCACCACACAGAGACCCACAGACTCACCACACAGAGACCCACAGACTCACCACACAGAGACCCACAGACTCACCACACAGAGACCCAGACTCACCACACAGAGACCCACAGACTCACCACACAGACCCACAGACTCACCACACAGAGACCCACAGACTCACCACACAGAGACCCATAGACTCACTCATAGAGACCCAGACTCCCCACAGAGAGCCCCACAGACTCACCACACAGAGACCCATAGACTCACCACACAGACCCACAGACTCACCACACAGAGACCCACAGACTCACCACACAGAGACCCACAGACTCACCACACAGAGACCCACAGACTCACCACACAGAGACCCACAGACTCACCACACAGAGACCCACAGACTCACCACACACTCACCACACAGACTCACCAAACAGAGACCCACAGACTCACCACACAGAGACCCACAGACTCACCACACAGAGACCCACAGACTCACCACACACTCACCACACAGACTCACCAAACAGATACCCACAGACTCACCAGACAGAGACCCACAGACTCACCACACAGAGACCCACAGACTCACCACACACTCACCACACAGACTCACCACACAGAGACCCACAGACTCACCACACATAGACCCATGGACTCACCACACAGAGACCCACAGACTCACCACACAGAGACCCACAGACTCACCACACAGAGACCCACAGACTCATCACACAGAGACCCACAGACTCACCACACAGAGACCCACAGACTCACCACACAGAGACCCATAGACTCACTCACACAGAGACCCACAGACTCACCACACAGAGACCCACAGACTCACCACACAGAGACCCACAGACTCACCACACAGAGACCCACAGACTCACCACACAGAGACACACAGACTCACCACACAGAGACCCACAGACTCACCACACAGACACACAGACTCACCACACAGAGACCCACAGACTCACCACACAGAGACCCACAGACTCACCACACAGAGACCCACAGACTCACCACACAGAGACCCACACACTCACCACACAGAGACCCACAGACTCACCACACAGAGACCCACAGACTCACCACACAGAGACCCACAGACTCACCACACAGAGACACACAGACTCACCACACAGACACCCACAGACTCACCACACAGAGACCCACAGACTCCCCACACAGAGACCCACAGACTCACCACACAGAGACCCACAGACTCACCACACAGAGACACACAGACTCACCACACAGAGACCCACAGACTCACCACACAGAGACACACAGACTCACCACACAGAGACCCACAGACTCACCACACAGAGACCCACAGACTCACCACGTGTAGTAATGGTTAATTATTTATTTACAATGGTGGATAGACAGTCCAAGGTGTGGCAACTCTCCACATCATTGAGGCGACACTCGGATTCATCTCGGCGATGGTGTCACCCCATCATCACCATCATCATCACCATCACCAACGTCACATTCACCAACATCACCAACATCACATTCACCAACATCACATTCACCAACATCATCACCAACATTGTGATCGTGGTGATGATGGGTACCATGGTGGCCAGGAAATGTTGACTACCTCGCCTGGTCTACAGGAGGTCGTGGGTTCGATCCCGGACCCTGTGAGATGTTGACTACCTCGCCTGGTCTACAGGAGGTCGTGGGTTCGATCCCGGACCCTGTGAGATGTTGACTACCTCGCCTGGTGTACAGGAGGTCGTGGGTTCGATCCCGGACCCTGTGAGATGTTGACTACCTCGCCTGGTACACAGGAGGTCGTGGATTCGATCCCGGACCCTGTGAGATGTTGACTACCTTTCCTGGTCTACAGGAGGTCGTGGGTTCGATCCCGGACCCTGTGAGATGTTGACTACCTCGCCTGGTCTGCAGGAGGTCGTGGGTTCGATCCCGGACCCTGTGAGATGTTGACTACCTCGCCTGGTCTGCAGGAGGTCGTGGGTTCGATCCCGGACCCTGTGAGATGTTGACTACCTCGCCTGGTATACAGGAGGTCGTGGGTTCGATCCCGAACCCTGTGAGATGTTGACTACCTCGCCTGGTGAACAGGAGGTCGTGGGTTCGATCTCGGACCCTGTGAGATGTTGACTACCTCGCCTGATGTACAGGAGGTCGTGGGTTCGATCCCGGACCCTGTGAGATGTTGACTACCTCGCCTGGCCTACAGGAGGTCGTGGGTTCGATCCCGGACCCTGTGAAATGTTGACTACCTCCACATCTAGAATCAACGTCACCACGTGTCTAGAGGATTTGGCTGCCACTATAAATGTCCACGTGGTGATGATGATGATCTGAGCCACGTGGTGTGAGCTGCTGACACTGTGATGATGATGTCCAAGTCGCTGGTGTCAACTACGATCAGTGGTGACCTTGCAGCTGTAACGTGAATATCGCTGAGTTTTAGTCTCTGTGGGTCTCTGTGGGTCTCTGTGGGTCTCTGTGGGTCTCTGTGTGGGTCTCTGTGTGGGTCTCTGTGGGTCTCTATGAGTATGGGTCTCTGTGGGTCTGTGGGTCTCTATGAGTGTGGGTCTCTGTGGGTCTCTGTGGGTCTCTGTGGGTCTCTGTGTGGGTCTCTGTGTGGGTCTCTGTGGGTCTCTGTGGGTCTCTGTGTGGGTCTCTGTGGGTCTCTGTGGGTCTCTGTAGGTCTCTGTAGGTCTCTGTGGGTCTCTGTGGGTCTCTGTGGGTCTCTGTGTGGGTCTCTATGATCTGAGCCACGTGGTGTGAACTACAATCAGTGGTGATCTTGCAGCTGTAACGTGAACATCGCTGAGTTTTAGTTGCACGTGATGGTGGTGGTTGTTGTGATGGCTCTGACTTTGGTGATGCTGATGATGATGGTGATGATGGTGCTGATGATGGTGGTGAGGATGGTGATGATGTTGATGGTGATGATGTTGATGGTGATGATGGTGCTGACAATGAATGATGGTGATGATGGTGATGATGGTGGTGATGGTGATGATGGTGATGATGGTGGTGACAATGAATGATGGTGATGATGGTGATGATGATGTTGATCATGATGATGGTGAAGACGATGACTTATGGTGATGATGGTGAAGACGATGACGATGGTGATGCTGATGATGGTGATGATGATGGTGGTGAGGATGGTGATGACGGTGCTGATGATGGTGATTGTGGTGATGATGTTGATGATGGTGATGACGACGATGGTGATGATGATGGTGGTGAGGATGGTGATGACGGTGCTGATGATGGTGATTGTGGTGATGATGTTGATGATGGTGATGACGACGATGGTGATGACGATGATGACGGCGATTTTTGATGGCTAAGATGCCGACAAGCAGGTTTCACTCCCCATCAGCACCACCATCACCACCATCACCACCACCATCACCACCATCATCAGCACCACCATCACCACCATCATCACCATCACCACCATCATCACCATCACCATCATCACCACCATCACCACCATCACCGCCACCATCAGCACCCTGCAGAGGAAGACACTGGCCCGTGGCAGCGCTCCACACTGAGTCCACTCGCACCCTGAACTCGCACAGCGGCATGGAGCACAGCTTCTGTAAACAACAACAACAATCAGCACAACAACAGCAACAATCAGCACAACAACAACAATCAGCACAACAACAATCAGCACAACAACAATCAGCACAACAACAATCAGCACAGCAACAACAACAATCAGCACAACAACAACAATCAACACAACAACAACAACAACCAGCACAACAACAATCAGCACAGCAACAACAACAATCAGCACAGCAACAACAACAATCAGCACAACAACAACAACAATCAGCACAACAACAATCAGCACAACAACAATCAGCACAACAACAACAATCAGCACAGCAACAACAACAATCAGCACAACAACAATCAGCAAAACAACAACAATCCGCACAGCAACAACAATCAGCACAACAACAACAACAATCAGCACAGCTACAACAACAATCAGCACAACAACAACAATCAGCACAACAACAACAATCAGCACAACAACAATCAGCACAGCAACAACAACAATCAGCACAACAACAACAATCAGCACAACAACAATCAGCACAACAACAACAACAATCAGCACAACAACAACAACAATCAGCACAGCAACAACAATCAGCAACAACAACAATCAGCACAGCAACAACAACAATCAGCACAACAACAACAACAATCAGCACAGCAACAACAATAACAATCAGCACAACAACAACAATCAGCACAACAACAACAATCAGCACAACAACAACAATCAGCACAACAACAACAATCAGCACAACAATCAGCACAACAACAATCAGCACAACAACAACAATCAGCACAACAACAACAACAATCAGCACAACAACAAGAACAACAATCAGCACAACAACAAGAACAACAATCAGCACAACAACAACAATCAGCACAACAACAACAATCAGCACAACAACAACAATCAGCACAGCAACAACAACAATCAGCACAACAACAATCAGCACAACAACAACAACAATCAGCACAGCACAACAACAATCAGCACAGCAACAACAACAATCAGCACAGCAACAACAACAATCACAATCAGCACAGCAACAACAACAACAATCAGCACAGCAACAACAACAAAAATCAGCACAGCAACAACAACAATCAGCACAACAACAATCAGCACAGCAACACAACAACAACAACAATCAGCACAACAACAACAACCAGCACAACAACAACAATCAGCACAGCAACAACAACAATCAGCACAGCAACAACAACAACAATCAGCACAACAACAACAACAACAATCAGCACAACAACAACAACAATCTGCACAGCAACAACAATCAGCACAACAACAACAATCAGCACAACAACAACAATCAGCACAACAACAACAATCAGCACAACAACAACAATCAGCACAACAACAACAACAATCAGCACAGCAACAACAACAACAATCAGCACAGCAACAACAACAACAACAATCAGCACAATCGCTACAACGAGTGAGTGGCTGAACGAGTGAGCAGCTGAGTGAGTAGGTGAGTGAGTAAGTGAGTGAGTGAGTGGGTGAGTGAGTAGGTGAGTGAGTGAGCGAGCGGGTGAGTGAGTGGGTGAGGGAGTGAGTGAGTAAGTGAGTGGGTGAGTGAGTGGGTGAGTGAGTGGGTGAGTGAGTGGGTGAGTGGGTGAGTGAGTGGGTGAGTGAGTGGGTGAGTGGGTGAGCGAGTGAGTGAGTGGGTGAGCGAGTGGCTGAGTGAGTGGGTGAGTGAGTGGGTGAGTGAGTGGGTGAGCGAGTGGGTGAGCGAGTGGGTGAGCAAGTGGGTGAGCGAGTGGGTGAGTGAGTGGCTGAGTGGCTGAGTGAGTGGGTGAGTGAGTGAATGAGTGGGTGAGTGAGTGGGTGAGTGAGTGAGTGGGTGAGTGGGTGAGTGAGTAAGTGGGTGAGTGAGTGGGTGAGTGAGTGGGTGAGTGGGTGGGTGGGTGAGTGAGTGGCTGAGCGGGTGAGTGAGTGGTTGAGTGAGCGAGTGGGTGAGTGAATGGGTGAGTGAGCGGGTGAGTGAGTGGTTGAGTGAGCGAGTGGGTGAGTGAATGGGTGAGTGAGTGGGTGAGTGAGTGGGTGAGTGGGTGAGTGAGTGAGTGGGCGAGCGAGTAGGTGGGTGAGTGAGTGAGTGGGTGATTGAGTGGGCGAGTGGTCTCACCAGGAGACGGGCCTGTTCGGGGGTGAGCAAGTCGCCCTCTTTGCACAGAGTGAAGTCTCTCAGCAGGTGGACTACGCCTGCACACAGACACAGACAAAGGTCCCCCGTGTAGCCTCCACACACTGCCGGGCCAAGTGCTGTTCACTAGCACCCACTACTACCACTGTGTGTGTCACTACTAGCACTGTGTGTGTCACTACCACACTGTGTGTGTCACTACTAGCACTGTGTGTGTGTGTCACTACTAGCACTGTGTGTGTCACTACTAGCACTGTGTGTGTCACTACTAGCACTGTGTGTGTCACTACTAGCACTGTGTGTGTCACTACTACTACACTGTGTGTGTCACTAGCACTGTGTGTGTCACTACTACCACTGTGTGTGTCACTACCACCACTGTGTGTGTACTACTACCATACTGTGTGTGTCACTACTACTACACTGTGTGTGTCACTACTAGCACTGTGTGTGTCACTACTAGCACTGTGTGTGTCACTACTAGCACTGTGTGTGTCACTACCAGCACTGTGTGTGTACTACTACTACACTGTGTGTGTACTACTACTACACTGTGTGTACTACTACTACACTGTGTGTGTGTACTACTACACTGTGTGTGTACTACTACTACTACACTGTGTGTACTACTACTACACTGTGTGTACTACTACTACTACACTGTGTGTACTACTACCACACTGTGTGTGTACTACTACTACTACACTGTGTGTGTGTACTACTACACTGTGTGTACTACTACTACTACACTGTGTGTGTACTACTACCACTACACCGTGTGTACTACTACTACACCGTGTGTACTACTACTACACTGTGTGTACTACTACTACTACACCGTGTGTACTACTACTACACCGTGTGTACTACTACTACACTGTGTGTACTACTACTACTACACCGTGTGTACTACTACTACTACACCGTGTGTACTACTACTACTACACCGTGTGTACTACTACTACTACACCGTGTGTACTACTACTACACTGTGTGTGTACTACTACTACACCGTGTGTACTACTACTACACCGTGTGTACTACTACACTGTGCGTACTACTACTACTACACTGTGTGTACTACTACTACTACACCGTGTGTACTACTACTACACTGTGTGTACTACTACTACTACACTGTGTGTACTACTACTACACTGTGTGTACTACTACTACTACACCGTGTGTACTACTACCACTACACTGTGTGTACTACTACTACACTGTGTGTACTACTACACCGTGTGTACTACTACTACACCGTGTGTACTACTACTACACTGTGTGTACTACTACTACACTGTGTGTGTACTACTACTACACTGTGTGTGAACTACTACTACACTGTGTGTACTACTACTACTACACTGTGTGTACTACTACTACACTGTGTGTACTACTACTACTACACCGTGTGTGTACTACTACTACTACACCGTGTGTGTACTACTACTACTACACCGTGTGTACTACTACTACACCGTGTGTACTACTACTACACCGTGTGTACTACTACTACTACACTGTGTGTACTACTACTACACTGTGTGTGTACTACTACTACACTGTGTGTGTACTACTACTACAGTGTGTGTACTACTACACCGTGTGTACTACTACTACTACACCGTGTGTACTACTACTACTACACCGTGTGTACTACTACTACACTGTGTGTACTACTACTACACTGTGTGTACTACTACTACTACTACAGTGTGTGTACTACTACTACACTGTGTGTGTACTACTACTACACTGTGTGTACTACTACTACACCGTGTGTACTACTACTACACTGTGTGTACTACTACTACACCGTGTGTACTACTACTACACTGTGTGTACTACTACTACACCGTGTGTACTACTACTACACTGTGTGTGTACTACTACTACTACACTGTGTGTGTACTACTACTACACTGTGTGTGTACTACTACTACACTGTGTGTGTACTACTACTACACTGTGTGTACTACTACTAAACTGTGTGTACTACTACTACACTGTGTGTACTACTACTACACTGTGTGTACTACTACTACTACACTGTGTACTACTACTACTACACTGTGTGTACTACTACTACACTGTGTGTACTACTACTACACTGTGTGTGTACTACTACTACACTGTGTGTACTACTACTACTACTACACTGTGTGTACTACTACTACTACACCGTGTGTACTACTACACCGTGTGTACTACTACTACTACACCGTGTGTGTACTACTACTACACTGTGTGTCTACTACTACTACACTGTGTGTGTACTACTACTACACTGTGTGTACTACTACTACACTGTGTGTACTACTACTACTACACTGTGTGTACTACTACTACACAGTGTGTGTACTACTACTACACTGTGTGTGTACTACTACTACTACACTGTGTGTGTACTACTACTACACCGTGTGTACTACTACTACTACACTGTGTGTGTACTACTACTACTACACTGTGTGTGTACTACTACACTGTGTGTACTACTACACTGTGTGTACTACTACTACACTGTGTGTGTACTACTACTACTACACTGTGTGTGTACTACTACTACTACACCGTGTGTACTACTACACTGTGTGTACTACTACTACACTGTGTGTGTACTACTACACTGTGTGTACTACTACTACTACACTGTGTGTACCACTACTACTACACTGTGTGTACTACTACTACTACACCATGTGTACTACTACTACACTGTGTGTGTACTACTACTACACTGTGTGTACTACTACTACACTGTGTGTGTACTACTACTACACTGTGTGTACTACTACTACACTGTGTGTACTACTACTACTACACCGTGTGTACTACTACACCGTGTGTACTACTACTACACCGTGTGTGTACTACTACTACACTGTGTGTCTACTACTACTACACTGTGTGTGTACTACTACTACACTGTGTGTACTACTACACTGTGTGTACTACTACTACTACACTGTGTGTACTACTACTACACAGTGTGTGTACTACTACTACTAGTGTGTGTGTACTACTACTACTAGTGTGTGTGTACTACTACTACTAGTGTGTGTACTACTACTACTAGTGTGTGTGTACTACTACTACTAGTGTGTGTGTACTACTACTACTACACTGTGTGTGTACTACTACACTGTGTGTACTACTACTACACTGTGTGTGTACTACTACTACTACACTGTGTGTGTACTACTACTACTACACCGTGTGTACTACTACATTGTGTGTACTACTACACTGTGTGTACTACTACTACACTGTGTGTACTACCACTACTACACTGTGTGTACTACTACTACTACACTGTGTGTACTACTACTACACTGTGTGTGTACTACTACTACTACACTGTGTGTGTACTACTACTACTACACTGTGTGTGTACTACTACTACTACACTGTGTGTCTACTACTACACTGTGTGTGTACTACTACTACTACACTGTGTGTACTACTACTACACTGTGTGTACTACTACTACACTGTGTGTACTACTACACTGTGTGTGTACTACTACTACTACACTGTGTGTACTACTACACTGTGTGTGTACTACTACTACACTGTGTGTCTACTACTACTACACTGTGTGTGTACTACTACTACACTGTGTGTACTACTACTACACCGTGTGTACTACTACTACACCGTGTGTACTACTACTACACCGCGTGTACTACTACTACTACTACACTGTGTGTACTACTACAGTGTGTGTACTACTACTACACTGTGTGTGTACTACTACTACACTGTGTGTACTACTACTACACCGTGTGTACTACTACTACTACACTGTGTGTGTACTACTACACTGTGTGTACTACTACTACTACACCGTGTGTACTACTACTACTACACCGTGTGTACTACTACTACTACACCGTGTGTACTACTACTACTACACCGTGTGTACTACTACACTGTGTCTACTACTACTACACCGTGTGTACTACTACTACACCGTGTATGTACTACTACTACACTGTGTGTACTACTACACCGTGTGTACTACTACTACTACACCGTGTATGTACTACTACTACTACACCGTGTGTACTACTACCACTACACCGTGTGTACTACTACTACACCGTGTGTACTACTACTACACCGTGTGTACTACTACACTGTGTGTACTACTACACTGTGTGTGTACTACTACTACTACACTGTGTGTACTACTACTACACTGTGTGTACTACTACACTGTGTGTGTACTACTACTACACCGTGTGTACTACTACTACTACACTGTGTGTGTACTACTACTACTACACTGTGTGTACTACTACTACTACACCGTGTGTACTACTACTACTACACTGTGTGTGTACTACTACTACTACACCGTGTGTACTACTACTACTACACCGCGTGTGTACTACTACTACACTGTGTGTACTACTACTACACTGTGTGTACTACTACTACTACACCGTGTGTACTACTACTACTACACCGTGTGTACTACTACTACTACACCGTGTGTACTACTACTACACTGTGTGTACTACTACTACTACACCGTGTGTACTACTACTACTACACCGTGTGTACTACTACTACTACACCGTGTGTACTACTACTACACCGTGTGTACTACTACTACTACACCGTGTGTACTACTACTACTACACCGTGTGTACTACTACTACTACACCGTGTGTACTACTACTACTACACCGTGTGTACTACTACTACTACACCATGTGTACTACTACTACACCGTGTACTACTACTACTACACCGTGTGTACTACTACTACTACACCGTGTGTACTACTACTACTACACCGTGTGTACTACTACTACTACACCATGTGTACTACTACTACACCGTGTGTACTACTACTACACCGTGTGTACTACTACTACACCGTGTGTACTACTACTACTACACCGTGTGTACTACTACTACACCGTGTGTACTACTACTACTACACCGTGTGTACTACTACTACTACACCGTGTGTACTACTACTACTACACCGTGTGCACTACTACTACTACACTGTGTGTACTACTACTACACTGTGTGTACTACTACACCGTGTGTACTACTACTACTACACCGTGTGCACTACTACTACTACACTGTGTGTACTACTACACTGTGTGTACTACTACTACTACACCGTGTGTACTACTACTACTACACCGCGTGTACTACTACTACACCGTGTGTACTACTACTACACTGTGTGTACTACTACTACTACACCGTGTGTACTACTACTACTACACCGTGTGTACTACTACACCGTGTGCACTACTACTACTACACTGTGTGTACTACTACACCGTGTGTACTACTACTACTACACCGTGTGTACTACTACTACTACACCGTGTGTACTACTACTACACCGCGTGTGCTTCTGTACCTCGCTGCAGGCTGGTGGGCAGGCCGAGCTGCCGCAGCTGCGGCTCCATGGAGTGTGGGAACTCCTGCAGAGGGCCCGCGTCTAGAACGACGTCCATGGGGGCGCGAGCCCCAGAGCGGGCAAAGTCCACCTGGGAGAACTCCGAAAACCACCTGGAGGTCACGGGGAGGTCACAAGGGGGTCACGGGGAGGGTAACGGAGGTCACGGGGAGGTCACAGAGGTCATGGGGAGGTCACAGGGGTGTCACGGGGGGTAACAGAGGTCACGGGGAGGTCACAAGGGGTCACGGGAAGGTCACAAGGGGGTCACGGGGGGGTAACAGAGGTCAAGGGGAGGTCACAAGGGGGGTCATGGGAAGGTCACAGAGGTCACGGGGAGGTCACAAGGGGGTCACAGGGGGGTAACATAGGTCAAGGGGAGGTAACAGAGGTCACGGGGAGGTAACAGAGGTCACGGGGAGGTCACAAGGGGTCACGGGAAGGTAACAGAGGTCACGGGGAGGTCACAGAGGTCACGGGGAGGTCACAGAGGTCACGGGGAGGTCACAGAGGTCACGGGGTGTGTAGCGGTCAAGGGATGGCTCCCTATTGCTCAACCACGTTATGTATGCCGATGATTTGGTAATAGCTGCTCAGTCAGAGGAGGAGTTGGAGACGCTGCTGCTGAGACTGGAGCGTGCCACTAAGAGGTGGGGCCTTACCATCAGCCCCACCAAAACTAAGCACCTGCTTGGGTATTTTGTACCATCGGACACTCCACCCCCACAACTCCCAATCGGTGATGGGGCAGTTGTGGAGAGAGTGGAGAGTTTCCCATACCTGGGCAGTGTGCTTATGACCGGCTCCGGTTTAACAGCAGAGGTCTCACTCCGAATCAGTCGAGCGGCAATATCTTTTCATCGGTTGCGTAACGCTGTGTGGAAGCTACCTGGTCTGTCGCTCCGCACTAAGCTTCAGGTCTTCTCGGCCACGGTCATTCCCTCCCTTCTCTACGCTTGCGAAACGTGGACCCCCCTAATGGAACATCTTCGCCGGTTAGAAACATTTAGGCTGGCCTGCCTACGATCCATCCCGGGTTTAACCAGACTGGATTGTGTGAGGAGCTCACAAATCCTTGAAAGATCTGGGCAGGGTCCCATCGGTGAGCTCCTCCGGCAGGCAAGGCTGCGATGGCTGGGTCATGTAGCCCACATGCCCAGCCACCGCATGCCGAAACAGCTTTTGTTCGGCCGGATTGAGGGGGCAAAGCGGGCGCGGCACGGGCTAGAGAAGAGATGGAGTGATGTGGTACAGGAGGACGTGGAGCTGAGTGGACTTGCCGATGACTGGTACCAGCGGTGTCAAGATCGGCCTCTGTGGAGGAGGCTCGTGAAGGACGCTACTGGGCAGTTGGAGGCAGTCGCCCTCCAACAACAACGGAGGGCGGAGGAGCGACGCTCACAACAACGAGCGGAGCGCCGGGTGGCTAAAGCACAGCAGGTTGGCACAGTAGGGGGCACAGGTGGTGCATCAGCCAGTCATCTCAGTCAGTCGACCCGTGGCACCTGGGTCTGCCCAGTGACCTCCTGCCAGCGGGCGTTCGACACTTCACGTGGCCTCAGGGTGCACATAGCCTGGCACAAGCGTCGTGGTGACGTCACCGCCACTTAGTGGCGAATGGCGGTTGTTGTTGTTGTGTCTATGTCTATGTGTGTGTCTATGTGTGTCTGTCTATATGTTAGTGTCTGTGTGTGTGTGTGTAGGTGTGTGTGTCTATGTCTATGTTAGTGTGTGTGTGTCTGTGTGTGTGTATGTTAGTGTGTGTGTGTAAGTGTGTGTGTGTGTGTCTATGTGTCTATGTCTATGTTAGTGTCTATGTCTATGTGTGTGTGTGTGTCTATGTGTCTATGTCTATGTTAGTGTCTATGTCTATGTTAGTGTGTGTGTGTGTGTATGTTAGTGTGTGTAAGTGTGTGTGTGTGTGTCTATGTGTCTATGTCTATGTTAGTGTCTATGTCTATGTTAGTGTGTGTGTGTCTGTGTGTGTGTATGTTAGTGTGTGTGTGTGTAAGTGTGTGTGTGTCTATGTGTCTATGTCTATGTGTGTGTGTGTCTATGTGTCTATGTCTATGTTAGTGTCTATGTCTATGTTAGTGTGTGTGTGTCTGTGTGTGTGTATGTTAGTGTGTGTGTGTGTAAGTGTGTGTGTGTCTATGTGTCTATGTCTATGTTAGTGTCTATGTCTATGTGTCTATGTCTATGTTAGTGTCTATGTCTATGTTAGTGTGTGTGTGTCTGTGTGTGTGTATGTTAGTGTGTGTGTGTGTGTGTAAGTGTGTGTGTGTGTGTGTCTATGTGTCTATGTCTATGTTAGTGTCTATGTCTATGTTAGTGTGTGTGTGTCTATGTGTCTATGTCTATGCTAGTGTCTATGTCTATGTTAGTGTCTATGTCTATGTTAGTGTCTATGTCTATGTGTATCGGTGTGTTACTAACTTGGTGACTTTGTCCGAGTCCCACTGAGAGAAGAGTAGGCCAACTTCTCCCCGCAGACGCTGCCCCACCTGGAGCGGGAGGGGGAGGCACAGGTAGAGGTAAAGCTCCCCCAGGTAGCGCACGGGGCGAGCCGAGGGCCAGTGCAGGGAGAGACGCGGGGAGACACGGGGAGACACGGGGAGACAGGGAGACACGGTGAGACATTGAGAGACACGGGGAGATGCGGGGAGACGCTGAGAGACACGGGGAGACACTGGGAGACACGGGGAGACGGGGAGACACGGGGAGACACGGGGAGACACTGGGAGACACTGAGAGACACGGGGAGACACGGGGAGACACGGGGAGACGCTGAGAGACACGGAGAGACACGTGGAGACACGGGGAGACGCCGAGAGATACGGGGAGACACGGGGAGACACGGAGAGACACGGGGAGAGAGAGACACGGGGGGAGAGAGACACGGGGGGAGAGAGACACCGGGAGAGGGAGACACGGGGAGAGGGAGACACGGGGAGAGAGACACGGGGAGACACGGGGAGACACGGGGAGACACTGAGAGACACGGGGAGACACTGGGAGACACGGGGAGACGCGGGGAGACGCGGGGAGACACGAGGAGAGAGACACGGGGAGAGACACGGGGAGACACGGGGAGACGCGGGGAGACGCTGAGAGACACGGGGAGACACTGGGAGACACGGGGAGACGGGGAGACACGGGGAGACACTGGGAGACACGGGGAGACACGGGGAGACACGGGGAGACACGGGGAGACGCGGGGAGACGCGGGGAGACACTGAGACACGGGGAGACACGTGGAGACACGGGGAGACGCTGAGAGACACAGAGAGACACGTGGAGACACGGGGAGACACTGAGAGACGCGGGGAGTCACTGAGAGACTCGGGGAGACACTGAGAGATAGAGAGACACGTGGAGACACCAAGAGACACGGGGAGACACGGGGAGACACGGGGAGACGCGGGGAGACACGGGGAGAGACACGGGGAGACACGGGGAGACACGGGGAGACGCTGAGAGACACGGGGAGACACGGGGAGAGAGACACGGGGAGAGACACGGGGAGACACGGGGAGACACGGGGAGAGAGACACGGGGAGAGAGACACGGGGAGACACGGGGAGACACGGGGAGAGAGACACGGGGAGAGAGACACGGGGAGACACGGGGAGACACGGGGAGAGAGACACGGGGAGAGACACGGGGAGACGCGGGGAGACACGGGGAGACACGAGGAGAGAGACACGGGGAGAGACACGGGGAGACACGGGGAGACGCGGGGAGACGCTGAGAGACACGGGGAGACACTGGGAGACACGGGGAGACACGGGGAGACACGGGGAGAGAGACACGGGGAGACGCGGGGAGAGACACGGGGAGACACGGGGAGACACGGGGAGACACGGGGAGACGCTGAGAGACGCGGGGAGACACTGAGAGACTCGGGGAGACACTGGGAGACGCTGAGAGACACGGGGAGAGACACGGGGAGATACGGGGAGACGCTGAGAGACACGGGGAGACACGTGGAGACACGGGGAGACACGGGGAGACACGGGGAGACACGAGGAGAGAGACACGGGGAGAGACACGGGGAGACACGGGGAGACACGGGGAGACACGGGGAGAGAGACACGGGGAGAGACACGGGGAGACACGGGGAGACACGGGGAGACGCTGAGAGACACGGGGAGACACGGGGAGACACGAGGAGAGAGACACGGGGAGAGACACGGGGAGACATGGAGAGACACGGGGAGACACGGGGAGACACGGGGAGACGCTGAGAGACACGGGGAGACACTGAGAGACACGGGGAGACACGGGGAGACACGGGGGAGACACGAGGAGAGAGACACGGGGAGAGACACGGGGAGACACGGGGAGACACGGGGAGACACGGGGAGACGCGGGGAGACGCGGGGAGACACAGGGAGACACTGGGAGACACGAGGAGAGAGACACGGGGAGAGACACGGGGAGACGCGGGGAGACACGAGGAGAGAGACACGGGGAGAGACACGGGGAGACACGGGGAGACACGGGGAGACACGAGGAGAGAGACACGGGGAGAGACACGGGGAGACACGAGGAGACACGAGGAGAGAGACACGGGGAGAGACACTGGGAGACACGGGGAGACACGGGGAGACACGGGGAGACGCTGGGAGACACGGGGAGACATGGGGAGACATGGGGAGACACGGGGAGACACGGGGAGACACAGAGACACTGGGAGACACGGGGAGACACGAGGAGAGAGACACGGGGAGACACGGGGAGACACGGGGAGACGCTGAGAGACACGGAGAGACACGGGGAGACGCGGGGAGACACGAGGAGAGAGACACGGGGAGAGACACGGGGAGACACGGGGAGACACGGGGAGACACGGGGAGACACTGAGAGACACGGGGAGACACGGGGAGACACGGGGAGACACGGGGAGACGCTGGGAGACACGGGGAGACATGGGGAGACACGGGGAGACATGGGGAGACACGGGGAGACACGGGGAGACACAGAGACACTGGGAGACACGGGGAGACACGAGGAGAGAGACACGGGGAGAGACACGGGGAGACACGGGGAGACGCTGAGAGACACGGAGAGACACGGGGAGACGCGGGGAGACACGAGGAGAGAGACACGGGGAGACACGGGGAGACACTGAGAGACACAGGGAGACACGGGGAGACGCTGAGAGACACGGAGAGACACGGGGAGACGCGGGGAGACACGAGGAGAGAGACACGGGGAGAGACACGGGGAGACACGGGGAGAGAGACACGGGGAGACACGGGGAGACACGGGGAGACACGGGGAGAGAGACACGGGGAGACACGGGGAGACGCTGAGAGACACGGGGAGACACGGGGAGACACGAGGAGAGAGACACGGGGAGAGACACGGGGAGAGACACGGGGAGACACTGGGAGACACTGGGAGACACGGGGAGACACTGAGAGACACAGGGAGACACGGGGAGACACGGAGAGACACGGGGAGACACTGAGAGACACAGGGAGACACGGGGAGACACGGGGAGACACTGGGAGACACGGGGGAGACAGAGAGACACGGGGGAGACACTGAGAGACACAGGGAGACACGGGGAGACACGGGGAGACACTGAGAGACACGGGGAGACACGGAGAGACACTGAGAGACACGGGGAGACACGGGGAGACACGGGGAGACACGGAGAGACACGGGGAGACACAGGGAGACACGGGGAGACACTGGGAGACGGGGAGACACTGGGAGACACGGGGAGAGAGACACGGGGAAACACGGGGAGACACTGAGAGACACGGGGAGACACGGAGAGACACTGAGAGACACGGGGAGACGCGGGGAGACACGGGGAGACACGGGGAGACACGGGGAGACGCGGGGAGACACTGAGAGACACGGGGAGACACGGGGAGACACGGGGAGACACTGGGAGACACGGGGAGACGCGGGGAGACACGGGGAGACACTGGGAGACACGGGGAGACACGGAGAGACACTGAGAGACACTGAGAGACACGGGGAGACGCGGGGAGACGCGGGGAGACACGGGGAGACACTGGGAGACACGGGGAGACACGGAGAGACACTGGGAGACACGGGGAGACGCTGAGAGACACAGGGAGAGACACGGGGAGAGACACGGGGAGAGACACGGGGAGACAGAGAGACGCTGAGAGACACGTGGAGACACGGGGAGACGCCGAGAGACACAGGGAGAGACACGGGGAGAGACACGGGGAGAGACACGGGGAGACAGAGAGACGCTGAGAGACACGTGGAGACACACTGAGACACGTGGAAACACAGAGACAGAGACACTGAGACACAGAGACACAGAGACACGTGGTAACACAGAGACACAGAGACACGTGGTAACACAGAGACAGGTGGTAACACAGAGACACGTGGTAACACAGAAACACGTGGTAACAGAGACAGGTGGTAACACAGAGAGACACGTGGTAACACAGAGACACGTGGTAACACAGAGACACGTGGTAACACAGAGACACAGAGACACGTGGAGACACAGAGACACAGAGACACGTGGAGACACTGAGACACAGCGACACTGAGACACAGAGACACAGAGACAGGTGGAGACACAGAGACACAAGAGACACTGAGACACAGAGACACAGAGACATAGAGACACTGAGACACAGAGACACGGAGACACGGAGACACAGAGACAGAGACACAGAGACACGTAGACACAGAGACACTGAGACACTGAGACACAGAGACACGTGGAGACACAGAGACACTGGGAAACAAGGGGAGACACAGAGACACTGGGAGACGTTGAGAGACACGGGGAGACACGGTGAGACACGTGGAGACACGTGGAGACATGGAGAGAGACACAGAGACACAGAGACACGGAGACACAGAGACACAGAGACACTGAGACACGTGGAGACATGGAGAGAGACACAGAGACACAGAGACACAGAGACACTGAGACACAGGTACATGTAGACACAGAGACACAGAGACAGGTGGAGACACAGAGACACAGAGACACGTGGAGACACAGAGACACAGAGACACAGAGACACGTGGAGACACGTGGAGACACAGAGACACAGAGAGAGACACTGAGACACAGAGACACAGAGACACGTAGACACTGAGACACAGAGACACAGAGAGAGACACAGAGACACAGAGACACAGAGAGAGACACAGAGACACAGAGACACAGAGACACGGGGAGACACGGGGAGACACTGAGACACAGAGACACAGAGACACGGGGAGACACGGGGAGACACTGAGACACAGAGACACTGAGACACAGAGACACGTGGAAACACAGAGACAGAGACACAGAGACAGGTGGAGACACTGAGACACTGAGACACAGAGACACTGAGACACGGAGACACGGGGAGACACAGAGACACTGGGAGACACGTGGAGACACAGAGACACGGAGACACTGAGAGACACAGAGACACAGAGACACGGAGACACGGGGAGACACAGAGACACAGAGACACGTAGACACAGAGACACAGAC